CCCCCCCCCCCCACCCCACCCACCGCCTCCCCCACAGCACCCAGCTTTCTGCGAGCTGATGGCTTCCCTCCCGATGGAAGTTGACCAAGAGGTTCACCAAGTCTGGCATTGGGGTCAGTCAAGCGAGACGGTGTCGGGTTTGTTTTTGGTTTCGCGTTTTGGCTTGGAGCTTCCTCGCTCCTGTGTCCTATGAACTGAACCCTGAGCCGACTCTGGCAGGTCTTTTCACAGAACCAAAAGCTCGTTAGGGAATGTGTCCGCTCCATAAGCCCTGAAGCCCTTAAGATCGACATGATTCTTTGACTCCACTGCTCTATCTTGCGCAACAGCCTAGCATATATGGCATAGGTTATGTTCATATAGTCGGACGCAGGTTTGCCTTTCTGCGTTTTTCCATCGCTTCAGATGCCAAGCTGATGCATGCAGCAGGCTGGCGATGCCTCTTCGACTTTCGTGCTGGCCATGGGTAACAACTCTGACGGGCAGCTGGGGTGCGGTATCGCGGAGGATGACGATGACAAGGTCAGGTCAAGGGGTTTGGAGTTTGGGTAGTGGGATGATCGTGACAATGTTTTTGTGCCGGTCATAGTCCACCAGACAGCGACAAACATCAAGGCGCGACAACCACCGCTGCCACACCGGTTTCGCTCACATCATCATCATCATCATCATCATCATCATCATCATCACCATCATCATCATCACTATCACCATCACCAATCGTCTTTGTCGCCAACATCACCACAATCAGCATCTTCCTCGTCCGAGTCGTGATTGTGTCGTAGAACGTCGCGCATCCCGGAGAGCACGAAGGCGGGAAGGGGCTCTCTGCTTGATGAGCCTTTCAGGTGTTTGCGCCTTGCGAACTGCATGCCTTCGACTCGGTGAATATTCGAAGCTGCTCGTCATCGTTGAAGCACTCAATCTGGTTGAGTTATGACGGTTTGGTGTACACTTCTGGTGACAATGATTCTGGACAGCTGGGTAGAGCCGGGAAGCGGGCCAAACCTTTCAAAATCGACTCCATCGAGCACATGCCTGTGGAAAGCACGGCCGCTGGAAACGGCTTCACTGTCCTGGCTGCGAAGCTGGATGGGCGCCTGATGGGCGTCGGACGAGGGGACCGTGGGCAGCTGGGGATGGGTGGTGCTGATCGCGACGACAAGGAGCGGGTGAAGTTTTCCTCTGCCTTGGATGAGCAGCTTCTGCATTTGTCTGCTGGGGAGTCGCACTGCATTGCACTGTGCCGTTCGGGGAAAGTCCTCGCTTTCGGAGAGAACAAGCACGGCCAGCTTGGGGTCGGTGACTTTGTGAGCACCGCCACACCGAAGCCAGTGCCCACTCTTTCAAGCCGGCCGGTGGTGCAGGTCTGTTGTGGAGGTGCCCACAGTTTGGCAAGAACCGCCACGGGACTCCTTTGGTCCTGGGGTTGCAACGAGCACGGCCAGCTAGGCCTTGGAGATCTGAAGCCCCGGTTCCGGCCCGAGCAGGTGAAGGCCATGCGCGTCTCCCGCTGCGTGGACGTGGCGGCTGGGAATCGCCACAGCCTGAGCATCTCGGAGAAGGGCCTCGCCTTTAGCTTCGGGGCCGGTGGAAGCGGGCAGCTGGGCTCCGGTGGCATTGCCGAGGCGGAGCCTTACCCGAAAGTCATCGAGGCACTGAAGGAGATCGGCACATGTTTACAGATTGCCGGTGGCCACAGCCACAGCCTTGCTGTGGTTCTGAACCAGGAAACTTTGAGGGAAAACCTCTACGTCTGGGGCCTGGGCTCGAGTGGCCAGCTGGGTATCCCCCGAGAGAACCTTCATGAGAAGAAGCTCTCGCCCCTACCGCAGAAGCTGCGGCTGGATCCCTCGCTAAAGATCCTGAGCATCTGTAGTGGGCCCCTCTCGCACCACACCTTCCTCATCGTTTCTCGGACTGCCGGAACTGAGTCAAGGGGTGGCTACCCTGGAACAGCGAGGGAGTCATTGAGCCCGCGAGCGTCCTTGGGGCCATTGAGGCATTGTTTGCACACTGCAATTGATGCAGACGAGCTGCTCCAGGCCCTGCGAAGTCTGAAGGGCAGTGAGGGCATTCAGCAGACTGCCCTTGTCAAGGCCGTGGGGGCTGCCTTCAGCTCCGTCAGTGTGCTGAATGCGTCTTTTCGGCGACCGTCGCCGCTGGGAACGACCGCAGAATCCAGTGGCGTCGACCTTTTGAAGGTCCGCAAGGCATATCATACACTTGTCTTCGAGCTGCGGAATGCCGAATTGATCAACACGCTTGGAAGAGCCACTGTTTCCATCTGTGATGAGCTTGCAAAGCAGCGTGTGCCGACGGATGATCCGGAAACACTCTGCGTGTTTTTGGTTCTGTTCGAGAATCCGCTGTTGCTCGCCGAGCACCGCACTTCTTTATTCGCTGGCTTCCATGTAGCATTACAGCGCCTAACTGCTGCGGTCCTTTCTTTGCCAAAAGACTCCCAGAAGCTTCTGTTCGGCTGGTTGAAGCACCTCCCGAGTGAATATTTCGGACGTGTGGTGAACGTCATGCAGCAGTACGTGACCTACGTTCTGACACAGCCTGGGCAAAATCAAAGCGACGTTTCGGCAGCTGTCATGATGCTGCAGACCCTGTGGGATGCTAATGCCGCTAGGTATGCCACGGAGATATTGCTCGTTCTTCCCTTCTTGGCATTTAGAGGCTCCTACTCAATGCTCGTTTTCAGAAGCTTAAGATTGCCATCCCTGTATGCCTACAAACTCTAAGCCCTATAGAATCCTAAACTTAGGCAGAGATGGATGGCATTCTGCCGGAGTGGTGTTTTCAGAGCCTCGCGATCTCGCAGAGCGCCGACCTGCAGGAGCACTATCGCCACGTGGACATATTATAGGGGCCTTAATAATTAGAATAGGGTTTGGGGGTATACTATACTATAACTACAATAAGGAACCCCCAAAACCTTGTTCTAATTATTAAGGCCCCTACATTAATCCTTCAGCAGAGTCATAGGGGCTTAGGATTTCGGGGTTAGGGATTTGGGCTTCTGGGCACGGGGTTTAGGGTTTAGAGGTCGAGGATTTCGAGGTTTAGACGGTAAGAAGTCTAGGGACTAGGTTTTTGGCAGAGGTCATAGGTTCCTTATGTGCATGTTCTTGTTTCGTTTGCTGTCCAAGTTCCGACTTTTCGCCCAGGTCAGTGGCAGCAGCAGCAGTCACTCGTGTTTTCCTACTGCCGCGCACCCGAAGTTTCAGAATCGGTAGAGGTTCTGTGATTCTGGTGCAGCTCACGTGGAGCTGCCAGGAGGAAGAGGGCCAAGCAAAAGAGAACGACAAGCTTACTATACCATAGGGGTCTTAATGATTACCTATACTATTTTGGGGGATTATAATCATAGTAGAATGGGCCCCAAGACCCTATTCAAACAATAAAGGCCCCTCATCAGAAGCATGGAGCTGTAGTGATTCAGTATCCGTCTTTCATCACAACTTCAGAGCCGAAGCAGCCATGAACCTTGCCTTTGTTTCATAGGTAAAACCCAGAATCCTGCCTACAAAAGTACCTACAATAGTACCGATGACGATTTAGGCAACCGTGGCTTCTGCCAGGAACAAGACATGGCTGCTTGGTTGGAGACGCTTACAGAAGATGCAAGCTGGATCCCAAACCAATGAACCCTAAACCCTAAACCCTAAACCCCAAACCCTAAACCCTAAACCCTAAACCCTAAACCCTAAGATCGGAAGAGCACA